GAATCATGGAACACTACATCAAAAACTAATGATGTAAAGTATGGTGATTAACATAACAATAAAAAATTTTTTAAAATTTTAAAATAAAATGCCCAATCTGGGTCTCTTTTTAGGTTTTCCTTTTGGGGATTTTTCCTAGGTCTATCTGTTCAAAGAATGGGCTTATTGCCAGTAGTAAGCAGGTCTGTTATGGGGGGCGTGTGTGTGTGTGCACACATGTGCATGCATGTTGTGTGTTTCAGCTTGGACACAATGAGATCATGAGTCCGCTGGCTGCCCAGCCCTATCCTGAGGGGCTCGTGATCTAATACGTATGCATGTAAATTATACACCTCTACCTATTCCTTCCATCAGAAAGACCAATATAGCTTTATCTCTGCTGCTCCTACATTTTAGAAATTTTAGCTCTTGAAGGGACCTTAGAAGTCCTCTTTCTAGGATGCTCCTTTTACAGATGAGGGGACTGAGGCTCTTCTCACCCCACCACCTATGCCCCCAGATGTCAACAGCCACCATGTTATTCATTCCGTCCCTGACCGCCACCCTGGAATTGCTGAGTCTCTGCAGTCTGGGAGGATGGGGGTCCATCTAGCTCTTCAGGAGCTCTTGGCCGTGCTTGCCCATCTTGTGGTCAAGCCCCTCCCCCTCAGTGTTCTTACACCCCCTCCCCGCACCCCGCGAGGACTCTCAGATGCACAATGCCGGGGCAGCTAAGCCACGTGGTCAAGCAGTGGCACATGCACCCACTCAGGGCTGGCCCCTGTGCCGCTGGGCCTTGTCTGGGCTGATCCTCGGGGAAGCAGCATCCTTCCCAGAGAAGCTGCTCCATCAGGCAAAGCATTTCATGTTCCCCACCCTGACCTTCTGCCTGAAGCCAGGGCAGCCTGTCCAGGCTTCGGAAGCTCTGGAGAGCCTCGCCCCCTGACCCGCTTTGTGTTGGCAGCTCGTGGACTACCGGGCAGAGTTCAGCAGGTGGTGGCTGACGGAGTTCAAGACGGTCAAGTTCCCCTCCCAGGGAACTATCTTTGACTACTACATAGACCCAGCGACCAAGAAATTCGAGCCTTGGTCCAAGCTCATCCCCCAGTTTGAATTTGACCCCGAGATGCCTCTGCAGGTGAGTGTGGCTGAGTGACCGAGGATGTACAATTGCGCCAAGGACCTCTCGTGGCAGCTCCTATCAGTGTCCCAGCATTTTAACCTTGCAGGAACTGGCCATCCCCAGCTACATGCCTTTCAAGAGGAACTCCTAGGTGCAAGGAAGCCACAGATCCCCCACAAAGACTAAGTAACTTGATTACCAGACTCCACCGGCATCCTGGGGGGCAGGGCAGGGAGACAGCAAGGCAGAAGTTTTCCAAGCCCAATAGGGAGGCCGCAGAGAGGAGGGGGGGTGCTCTCCCCCAGAGAATGAGGTTATGGAATGAGCTTACTGGGCATATGAAGGAAGACACTCCTGCCCAAGGTAGCGAGCCAGCACCACTCTGCCTCTGAAATGGTCCAGAATGTTTTTGCCAGGAAGCTGTTTCTCCCATGAGCCCCTGGCCTGCTAACCGGGTTCTCACTGCAGGCTTGTTTGGTGCACACGAGCGAGACCATCCGGGTGTGCTACTTCCTGGAGCGGCTCGTGGAGCGGCGGCGGCCGGTCATGCTGGTGGGGACCACCGGCACAGGCAAGTCGGTGCTGGTGGGGACCACGCTGGCCAACCTGGACGCTGAGGAGTACCTGGTGAAGAACGTGCCGTTCAACTACTACACCACGTCAGCGATGCTGCAAGGTGAGGGCCTGGAGTGCCTGGAGGGGAGGGGAGGGCCGGTGGGGGTGTCTGAGAGGCCACGTGCCCTGACGTGGAGATGGAACAAAGCATCGGCACCTGTTCGGCCTGACTTCCCCTGCGCCCGCACTCTGCTGTTGCCTCTCCTTTCTTCCTTTCTCCTCCGCGGCACCTCTGTTCCACTCCTCCAGCACCCTCAGCACTGTACTTTTCTTCATCCTGTCTCCTACCTTCCTCCCTGGCCTCTCAAATCCCTCCCAGGCCAGGAGTTCAACACAGAACAGTGTTCAGTACCTTGATGCCGAAGAGAGCTGGCACCCGGTGAAGGATTGCCACAGGCTTGTGGAAGCATCCTAGGGATCTTTGCCTTCACCCTTACTGTCTCATAGACAGGGAAACTGAGGCTCGGGTAACAGTACGCGATCACCCAAGGTCACCGTCAAGCAGCAGGGCCGGCGGGGTGCATCCAGTCTTCTGAGCACATGGGGGGTGCTTTTCACTGGGAGCTGATGTGCTGGGCTCCCGAGTGGGCTCGGATCCTCCAGGTGCAGCTTCAGAGTCAGAGGCTCCCTGAAAAAGGAGTTTTGCCCTTGCCAGAGTCACTTTCTCCTTGACCCTCACTACCTGTAGGGTCTCCTTGTGTATAGAGACACTCATCACATGAACCCTAGAAGCAGCTTCCTTTTCAAGAGGTGCCCAAGCCAAGCTCCTGGTGACAGGAGAGCAATGGCAGGGCGGGGGGGGGGGGGGGCACCCTGCTCTTACTCCTCACCCTGCAACTTGGCTGTGGTTCACATGTGAGACCACAGTGCATGGCCACACCTGCATTGCAAAACCACGGACAGTCAGGAATTCCGGGCACCAGAATTTGCACACTGGGAAATTAGAAGCCATAGCTTAGTACATGGAAAGTGAGCCTGGCACTTTGCCTGCCCGACATCCAGGCCAGCAGACTTACAAAACAGTTTCACTTCAACTTCCTCTTGCTCAGCTTGGACCAGTGTCACTTACCCCATCCTTCCACGGCCCCTCCCAGCAAGAACCCCAGAGTCATCCAGCTTAGTATTGGCACCGTTCCGCATCCCCAACTCCCACAGAGAGTAGAGCTTGCTTCCTTCCATCCTCCTGACTATCCTGCCAGTTCTTCCAGGGTCGGGATCCCAGCCAGCTCTGGGTGCTGCTGGGGGCCCCACTCTCTGCCCCCTGCCTCTCAGAGCAGTCAGGCACCCGGAGCCCCTCAGCAACAGAGACACTCTCCACCTCTCCATCAAGTGAGCCTCTGGGCTGCATCCCCTGTCATGCTCCTAAATGTTCCACACTGTCTGTCTCAATCCAGCAAGCTCCTGTAGTTCGCACATGAATATTAACAAGTAAGACAACTCGAAATGCTGGAGACTCATGTCAGGACTTCACTTGTTTGTCAGTGACGTGAGCATCTTCTGTTTGAATAACCAAAGAATATGCCATTTTTAAAAAAGATTTTATTATTTGAGAGAAAGAGAGAGAGCACAAGCAGGGGAACGGGCAGAAGGAGAGGGAGAAGCAGACTCCCCGCCGAGCAGGGAGTCCGATGTGGGGGCTTGATCCCAGGACCCAGGGATCATGACCTGAGCCGAAGGCAGATGAAGAATATGCCATTTTTTTGCTCTTCATAAGGTATGAGGCACTTAACATGTTTTGTCCACCATTATCTGAAGTCTATGTGAGCAACAAAGTCTATCCCAATTTCTGTAGTGTAAATACTCCCACCGTGACCCATTTCCAGCTGCCGACCAGCACCCGGAGGCGGTAAGCAGACTTCACATGCCTGGCTGGCTCACATCTGAACACTGTTTGGTCTACCCACCAGAGTTTCTTGTTCACGGGAAGAGAGGCCTCTGTGCTCATTTGTAAGCCTAGAGTCCAGTGAGCGGTCAGATGATCAACCCTCCCCATTCACTGCAATTCTCACGCTGCTTATAACTATGCTAATAACAACAACTGGCATGTATCAAACGCTCACCAAGTATGTGTCAGGCACCAATCTGAGACTGGAATTTTACACATTTTTAAATCCTTTAATCCCATCCGGCCCCATGAAGTAAGTCCTTGTATCATCCCCATGTTATAGATAAGAACCTCAAGGCACAGAGAAGTTAAATAAGCTACCCTAGACCACACACAGTAAGTGGCAGAGCCTGGGTTTGAACCCAGACAGTCCGACTTCAAAGCCTGTGCTCTTAACCCTGAGGTTAATACTGCCTCCCTGGCAAGAAAATACTTTGAAAACGGCAATAAATGTTTGCTATTAGTGCTATTATCATTAGTGGGACCATTCAAGGATTCTGGAGGAGTTGTTTTCTGGAATCCTATTATAAGGATTCTTAATGTAAAAAAATACTTTAAGTGGAGAATAAAAACTTATAATCAACGAAAAGGAGATGAGCTGCCTGCACTGCCCAGACCTCTCTCTCTTATTCTGGGCCCCTAACCTGGAGGATTTTCCTCTCCTCTCCTGTTGGAACACAGAGAATTATCCAGAAGCGTCAGACTGCTGTCAGATAGACCCAGGATAATGCTGGCTCCTCGCTGCAGCTGGACACAACATTTCTGCGTCCTGTGAGCTCCCCAGTGGCCTCTTGGTCCCATCCACTCTCCACACTAGGGATGGATGAAGCAGGGATCACTAACCTCACCCATCCAGAAGCAACTAGGAACTGGGGAGTCAGCCAGAGCCCCAGGGGAGCCACCCTAAATGCCAGAGTCCACGCAGCAGAGCTCATACCCTTGACTCTGAAAAAAATGCTGAATTCCCTTACTGGGAACCCCCTGCTGCTTTCTTTGGTCACAATCCAAACAACTTTGTTTCTTTGGCTTCTTAGCCTAAAACATTTTGGAGGCAACAAAATGGCAAGAGAAAGGGTGCCCACAGCCTTTAGAAAAGGGGGGAGCCAGAAAACTGATATCCAAGAGGAAATAGAAAATTTCAAAAAGGAGATGCAAGAACTCCAAGGGTAGCTGCTGTGACCTGGACAAGAGGCAGATTCCCCCACCCACATCCTGACCCCAACCCTCTTTGCCTCTTTTTGCAGCAGAGTATTTTCATTGCTGGTCGTACTTAAGACCCTGTGTAATTACAGAAAAATAGAATGTGTTTTGTGAAGCATTCTGCTTCAAAGGGCAGGTAGTACACCCAGACAGATGTGCAAAATGTGCATTTCTAACTGGTCTGTAGTGGCAAATGGTGGGAAGTAGCCTAATTATCCATGTGACAGAATGCTAAGCATTATTACAAAGAATGAGGACATTCTGTATGAACAGAGTTGGAACTATGTCCACAGCTTTGTTGCATGAGAAAAGCAAGACACAGAGTGTATGGTATGCTCCAAAATGTGTCGTGTTTAAAAAGAGAAAGGTAAAGAACACGGGGCTCCTGGGTGGCTCAGTCAGTTGAGAGTCCGACTCTTGATCTTGGCTCTGGTCTTGATTTCATGGTCTTGAGTTCGAGCCCCGCCTTGGGCTCTGCACTGAGGCTGGAGCCTACTTTAAAAAAGAAAAAGAACAAACAGGGTTGATGGAGGAAGGTGGGTGTGGGATGGGCTAGATGGGTGGTGGGTATTAAGGAAGGCACTTGTTGTGATGATCTCTGGAGGTTGTGTGTAAGTGATGAATCACTGAATTCCACTCCTGAAACCATCATTGCACTATGCTGACTAATTAGAACTTAAATAAAAATTTGAAGAAAAAACAAAAAAGAGATAAATAAAAATATTTTGTTGGTTATATTGATTACACACACACACACACACACACACACACACACTCATATATCTATGCTTATATATACTTAGAATATCTCCAGAAGGACGTACAATAAACTGATAATAGCAGGTGCCCCTGGCAGGGGGAGCTAGATGCTAAGAGGGAGCTGGAGAATTCCTTAAACTTTTTAAAAATTATGAAATATTTCAAGCATGCAGAAAAGTCCAAAAAATAATATAGCAGGTGCCCATGTACCCACCAGCCAGATTTCACAGATGTTAACATTTTGTCATTTTGCAGTGAATCTTAGCTTTGCAAATAACAGCCAGCACACCACCCCCATCCTCCTTCCTGCCCCTCTGTGACTGAGTACTAAAACTGATGTGTATCATTCCAAACTTAAACCTTTTTTTAAGTTTTTAAATTCCATTTAACACATGGTGTAATATTAGTTTCAGGTGTACAATAGAGTGATTCACCACTTCCGTACACCACCTGGGTGCTCATCACAAGTACGTGCCTTAATCCCCAACACCTAGCTCACCCATCCCCCCTCCTACCACCCCTCTGGTGATCATCAGTTTGTTTTCAGTAGTTAAGAGTCTGTTTCTTGATTTCTTTCTCTTTCTTCCCCCCCGCCCTTTGCTTGTTTGTTTGGTTTCTTAAGTTCCACATATGAATGAAATCATATGGTCTTTGTCTTTCTCTGACTTATTTCACTTAGCATTATGCTCTCCAGCTCCATCCATGTCTTTGCAAGTGGCAAGATTTCATTCTTTTTTATGGCCGAGTAATATTCCATTGTATATACACCACATCTTTATCCATTCATCAGTTGATGGACACTTGGGCTGTTTCCGTAGTTTGGCTATTGTAGATAATGCTGCTAAAAACATTGGGGTGCATGTATCCTTTGAATCAGTATTTTTGTATCCTTTGGGTAAATACCTAGTAATGCAATCGCTGAATCTCGAGTAGTTCTATTTTTGAGGAACCTCCATGTTCTTTTCCACAGTGGTTGCACCAGTTTGCATTCCCACCAGCAGTGCATGAGGATTCTTTTTTTTCCACATCCTTGCCAACACCTGTTGTTTCTTGTGTTGTTGATTTTAGCCATGCTGACAGGTGTGAAGTGATAGCTCATTGTGGTTTTGATTTATATTTCCCTGATGATCAGTGATGCTGAGCAAAATGGATGAAAGACCCAAATGCGAGACCTGAAACCATAAGAATCCTAGAGGAGAATACAGATAGTAACCTCT